CGGAAAAGAACTTCCCGAAGAACTACAAAGAAGAATCGTACGGTTGGAGGAAGCAGATCCGTTCCCAAAGCGGTTACGAGACGGTGAACGGGTGGCACTCGCCGTCCCGCAGCTACCTCCACGCGCTCCGGGAGGGGGGGGAGGAGGAGGCGGTGGAGGGATGCGGGGGCGTCCTCCGCCTCCGCGTTCTCTACTCTGCGCCGGACGCCGTCCACCGCATCCACTATCAGGTGGATGTCAGGCTGAGTCGGGTTGCCCGTGCAGGAGGGGAAAGGGATGGGAGGACTTCGAGGATGCTCGAATGCGCTTCTCGCACGGGGAGAATTCTCTCCGATTCTTCGTTACCTGTCGCGCGTTAGGGTCACAAATGTATGATGTTTTTCTTCATTCCGGAATTCCTTCTCTAATTTCTGTTCTGGCCATTTTCCGACGTATGGGTGGGCAATATGCAATCTCCAGATTTAAATAATGCCTTTCCTTCGGCTTTTGTGAGCTTACTGCTCGATGTGGACCATCGCGAAGCAAGTACATTGGAAGCAATTGCACCTTGAAAGTGCTTCGATTTTTCTCCGTTAATTTCTCCACCGACCAACCAAATTGACGGCTCGACGGAATAATTCTGGATCGAACGAAGTGCGTTTGGCACTTTTTCTTTCTGGGGAATGATTCTCGCCGATCTCCGTTTTCTTCATCGCCGCGAGACCGAACGCATTCTCCCCTGAGAGTCTACGGTGGTCGAACAGGTGATTTCCCGAGGGGACATCCAGGCGTCCGGGGCCTTCGACCAGGAGCCGGGCGAGGCGGCGGAGGATCCCGTCGACCCGGATCTCCTGCTCTACCGGCCCGACGCGGATGCCCCGAAGCCGGATCGCCTGGTCGAGGCGGCACTCGAGATCCCGGTCGCGCCCGAGATGGCGCCCGAGGGCAACCTGGTGGTCTTTTACGTAAGAGCGGACGGGGAGGTGGTGTCGGATCACCTCGCCTTCCGGGTCGAGCGGTGCCTCCCCAACAAGGTCGTTCTTCGTCATCATGGCGCTTAAACGTCCGTCGGATCGTCGCGATCGCGTGCATCGTCCCGTTGCAGGTGGAACTGAACTGGAAGGAGGAAGAAACGGGACCCGGATCGAAGGCGGGGCTGAGGGTGAAGGCCGCGCCGGAGTCCGTCTGCGGGCTGAGGGTCGTGGACGCGAGCGTCGACCTTCTCAGGCCGGGGCATCGGCTGGATGCAGATGCAGTCTTTCGGGCGCTGGAGCGATTCCGGATCGGCGCGCACCAGTTCCCCGCTCAGAGCCGGGACAACGACTTCTGCCTCAGGCATCGGTCGAACGAAAGTCTCGCCGGTATGTTCGTTCCATGCACTCCGTTGCGATTTCAAGCATGTTTACGATTCCGCATGAAGTTCTAATGGGGGTCAATCGCGTCAAATCGACTCAAAACAAAAAAGGAAATTGAGCCGACCCCCTCCGATTTCCGTGAAATATGCTGAGCTCGTGGGGGCTATTGAAAAAACCTTTCCATGCCGAATTGCAGATCTGAACTACTCAAATTTTCTCAAATTTTCACCTTGGGACTGCCATGAGATCAGGAATTACACACAATAATGTGGCAACAAATAACCAAAAAAAAGTCTAAAGAAAATATACTATAAATTTTTGAATTAATCCAGTTTCAGTAAAAATTTAGTCAGAACAAGTAGGAGTATTTTATATATGGGTGGTTCCATTTCAAATCAGGCAGGGCCTGTCAGGTCAT